GGTTTTCAAGATCTTGGAGGGGTTTTCAAGATCTTGGAGGGGTTTTCAAGATCTTGGAGGGGTTTTCAAGATCTTGGAGGGGTTTTCAAGATCTTTGGGGAGCGTTTCAAGATCTTGCGTTGCCGATGCAGTGGCTTTGGGTTGGAATTTAGCATTTGCTTTGGTATCCTCTGATGGCAAGAAGCTGTTCTTAGGCTTGCTCTAACAGCCCTGCAGCCCTGTCCCAGGCAAAACGTCCATCCTTGGCAGCTCCAGGAGCTAAATGAAAAGCAGCAGGTGTCTGAGGAGCTGCAGATGGCCTGCGCTGGAGGAAGCCTGGAGGGACAACTGCTGCCTGCGTCTCCTTGAGCAGAGGCTGGGAGCGATTTCCACGCTCAGCTGCGGGCTGGCCCCAGCGCCGGCTGCATCTGCTGCCCTCCAAATTGATTCCCCAGAAGTGACGCGGGAAGAAGCAAATCCCGTTCCACGGGGATTTGCTTTCCGGCTGGTGGGAATTGCGTGGGCAGTTGGGATGGAGTTGGGCTTGGCTGGAAGGTTCTAGGGCCATTTGCTCTGCTCTCCTCTTGGGCCGTGCTCCATGTTTGGGGCAACGTGAGCCACTCCGCAGCGTAGAAACATCCTCGTTTGGATGCCCACCTTCCTCAAGACCTCCAAGTTGTCCCCTGTGGGGTGGGGCAGTAGGTGGGAGCTTTGAGTGAGGCGCGGTTGCCTCTTCTCAGTCCTCCTAGGTAGCCAAGACATGGACATAATCTCATTTTAAGTAACAAATAAAAGGGGCTGCGAGCAGGTGAGGCCCCGTGGTTCAGCGAGAAGGATAGGAAGACACCTGAGTCTATTCCGAAGCGCTCGGGAAGTCCGTGAGCAAAGGGGGACACGTGGAGATGTGGAAGAGCAGCTACCACCAGCTTTGCCTCAGGGCCTCTTCTGCTTGCTTCAAGTGGGCTGACTGCCTGGTCTAGTGGCTGTTTGTGGTCGGAGCTGCTTGTTAGAACCCGCGTCCGTCGGCGCGTTGCCCGCCTGGAAACACCCTCTGGATGGTGGCCGTGCTTGGGTGGACACCCTGAGGTTGGTGCTTTGTAACAGCTACGTGACTGGGAGCAGGACGAGCTTCTGGAGGCCCATACCATCATCTCCAGCTTCTGTCTCCATATCTCCCACCCACCAAAGACATTGCTGAGCCCGACCCGTGAAACCTTGTGGCCAGGACAAACGTGCTCAACTGCGTCCCGTTTCCCATGGATTTACCACGTTGGGACCAAAAACTGGTTGGGTTTCCTGTCCCCGTTGCCTCCGTGTGAAGGCTGCTCCAGAACCACTCTGCTCCGCTTAAAAAACACTACTTTGAGCCTAGAATGGCTAGAAATATTCATATATACTTAAATATCTCTCCTACCATCATAATATTTACTTCCTTCCATGTATTTAGAAGTGACAGGGACATTTCCCTGCCTTGGTTTTTATTTGGCTCAACACGCCAGTCTCGTTGGTCTTCTCCCCAAATCAGCCTGCGTTTCCTTTCCCCGGCTCCACAGATGGTTTCCGCACCTCCTCCAACTCAACTTCTTCTTTTTTTCCCCCCTCCTTTCTTGATTTTAATTTATTTTTGCGTGGCCAGAGCTCTACGGAACATCCTGGAGGAGATTTCGACGGAGCCTTGAATAAAAGCACGAAAACTTCCTTTCTCTCCGCTATAAATAACCCGGTCTGCTGTCTCCCACGGTTGTTTGCTCTTCCATGTCTGCCTTGCTTCGGCACAGCCGTCCTGCTGAAGTTACTGCCTCGGGGGAGTGTGTTTTTTATGCCCGTTTCTGGGGGTAAAAAAGTGCCAAGCGAGGGCGTTGGGCGCAGCCAACGACGTGGCCTTTGCCTCGCTCAACCTGCGCTGTTTTACTCCCTTATTCCCATCACTTAACATCATCCTTAACATTATCCCGCTCTTCTTGCGTGGAAACCGGAGCCGTGGGGTTACGAGCGCTTTAATCCGGATTCAGGACGGCAGCTACCGCCGAGCGATATCGCGGAGCGGGAGATGAGAGCCCGTCGCGGAGCGGCAAAGCCTGTGGAGAAGGACTCGTGTGAAGGTGGGCGCTGGGTGAGCGATGCCACCCGCTGTGGACCCTGCTGCTGGAGTTTGTTGTCCCCGAGGGCCACAGGAAGGACTTTGAGCTCTATGGAGGAGGCGGCGGCAGCGTTTTGTGGCTGCGGATAGCAGGAGACATCACAGAATCGCACAGAATCACAGAATCTTCAAGGGTGGAAGGGACCTCTGGAGATCATCTAGTCCAACCTTCCTGCTCAAGCAGGCACACCTAGAGCATGTGGCACAGGGCGGCATCCAGGTGGGTTTGGGAGACCTCCGGAGAAGGAGACTCCACAGCCTCCCTGGGCAGCCTGTTCCAGGGCTCTGTCACCTTCACAGTGAAGAAGTTCCTCCTCACCTGGAGATGGAACCTCCTGTATTTCAGCTTGCACCCATTACCCCTTGTCCTGTCACTGGCCACCACTGAGAAGAGCTTGGCCCCTTCCTCCCTACATTCCCCCTTCATGAACTTGGACACGTTAATCAGACCCCTCTCAGCCTTCTCTTCTCCAAGCTGAACAGACCCAACTCACTGAGTGTCTCCTCATACGAGAGATGCTCCGGTCCCTTCATCATCTTCGTTGCCCTCCACTGGACCCTCTCGAGAAGCTCCACGTCCCTCTTATACTGGGGAGCCCAGAACTGCACCCAATACTCCAGGGGTGGCCTCACCAGAGCTGAGTAGTCACTGCAGAAGCCCTAAGCAACGGCGCTGAGAACTAACTACTCAACACAGGAACCTTCAGAGGGGTGATGGCGACTTTTCTAACGTCCAGCACTTGGAAGGGTGGTCGGCAGCCGTCAACGGGGAGCCACAACACTGCAGGTAGAGGAGAAGGGCTGCCGGGTCCCAAACGGACCTGGAAGATGGTCCACAGATCCCACACGGCCACGTTGCAGCCGTGGGGGCATCGGGGGACGTTGGGCTACGGGAGGTGGCCACCTCTTCCCCTGCGCGTGGGGCTGCCCGGCGGCGCCTGGGCCAGGTCCAGGCGAAGGGCTGCTTGGGCAGGGCTTTGCTGGGCTGCGCTCTTGCAATCCGGGGAGATAAGATGAGCTGATAACGGTCCCGTGGAGCAGGGGCCGGTGGGAAGGCGGCCGCTTCCCCGGCCCCGCGGCGAGCCCGAGCCAGGGAATTTGCCGCCCGCGCTCGGGAACAGGCTCCGACTTGGAAGCAGTGGAAAAAGTGACTCAGTCTCATTCTAAACCCGGCTCTGCGGGCAGCTCCGCGCCGGGACGCGGCACCGGGAGCGTCCCGCGCGCGCGGCCTCGGCTCGGGCCCCGCGCGGCTGCGGCCTCCCAACCCCAGCGCTTGGCACCCGTCCCACGTGGAGCGTTTTTTTTCGCTTCCCTTTGGCATTTAGCTTCCCAAGAAGAGCTTGGCTGAACTTTAGGCTTTATTCTCCTGTTTTCCCCCTTTCTCCCTCTCCTTTCGGAGGCTTTGGCCGCTGCGCTGGCGAGGGCGAAAGCGGCGGGTGGGCGGGCGCCGCCTTCCAACAATGCGGCCAAAGAGCGGCGGCCAAGGCGGCGGCCGGAGCGCGCGGAGAGGCGGATTCCGCGGGATTCCTGCCTTCCGCGGCGACCCCGCCGTGAAGCGGCTGTTTTGTGCTCCCGGGCGGCGCGCTCAATAGCGCCCTTGTCCGCGGCGCGCGGGCCGGAGCCCGGCCGGCCCCTCGGCCTTTCGGCTTTGCTGAGCCGGGCTTAACCTCGACTCCAGAGGCCGGGAGCTCGCGGGGAACCGCGGGAGCCTTGGGCCCTTTCCAGGGATGGAGGCTTCTGTGTGGGGCAGCCCGGAGCAGCCGGGACGTGTCCATGGGCTCCCACCTTCCCCATGGGCTCCCACCTTTTCCATGGGCTCCCACCATCACCTGAAGCAGCCGCCGGGGCTCCGAGGATGCCCATGGGCAGTGCCAGCCCCCAAACCTCACAGGCAGCAGCGGATCCTCCAGCAAAACCCATGGCAGGGCAGGTAGGGAACTGGTGCCTTCACCGTGTGCCCTATGGGGTACCAGGCAAAGCCTGTCCTAGCAACTTTGAGCTAGGACTGCCCGCCCGTCTGCGGGTGCCAGCACCCTGCAGCAGCTCGGGCATCCCAAATACAGCTCGATTTGCCCTCTATCCAGATTGAGGGAGGGCCCCCGGGTTGTTTTCCATTCTCGGCCGTGGATATCAGGATAATCCACAAGGAGCAACCAAGACTAAGAGCCTGTTGTAGAGCAAAGGGCCACCGGCGAGCGTAGTCCTCGTGCCTCTCGGGGACAGATGGGCCTTTGAGGGGGGACAAGTGGGGCCCTGGAGGACCTGGCCGAGCTGCAGGAGGAGCCCTGCCCGCCTGCAGCTGCCAAACGCTTGCCAAGTCCTGCCAGGGAGGCTTGCAAAGGGCCTGGAAAGCCGCTCCGAGGAAGGGCTGCGTCCCCGGCTGCTGCCCGTTGGCAAGGCTCTGGTGAAACAGACCCTTTAATATGTATTTATTTCATAGAATATTTCAAATATATATAAAATATTAAAATAGAGTCGGGAAGGTGCCACTGGGTGCTTCCCAAGGCGGGGATTTTGCCTCCGTGGCGGATCCCGAGGAGCCCGTCTGCTGGCGAGGGACCTTTGGCTCCCATTTCAGCAGGATTCCTCAAGAGGAGGAGGAGGAGGAGGAGGAAACACGCGCGGGGTCATCGGCAGGAATGTGCTGCCGCGCTTGGATTCCCTTCGAGGCAGCAGCTTCGCTCGCTCCGTGTTTGCTTATCTCTCGTGCCGCCCGGCTCCGGGGCTGGAAAACAAACCCCACGGAGCCATCTCCTCCGCGGGGCTGCGATAAGAGGCCGCCTGCATCCAGAAGGACTTTGGGAGCAGGGTCCCAAATTGCAAACGCGGCCAATTCCTTGCGTAATCTTGCCCCGAAAAGCGCTCATTTACCATTATCTCCAATAATAGGAGCACAAAGCAGCCTTTTTTTTTTTGTTTGGTTGGTTTTATTTTTGTCTTGAGCAACAGAAGAGGTGGGTGGAAAGCGGAGCCCTTGAGGGGAACGGCAGCGCTTTGCACTTCAGGCTGGTATTTGTTGTGTACATAGAAAATGGGAAAAAATTTAACGTGAAATCTAAAGATCCCGAATCATTAACTCTGCGGAGCCCCTGACAAACAGGGATTGAGGCAATATTGGAAAGAAATGGGGCTACCAGAGAAGAAATGACGCTAGAAGAAAGGCCAGGGCGCTCTGCTCGGCCCCAGACACCCCGGCGAGCAGAATAAGCTGGGCTTAATCTCCAAGGACTGCGCTAGGGACAACTGCGAGCGGGACGATCCCGAGGGAAGGGCCCTGCTTTGTGATCCTCTGTGAACAGGGATCTTTATGCAGCCGGAGAGGCTGCAGGGCCGGATTAACTGCTCGGATTATCCAGCCCCATCTTGCCAGGCTCCGGCTCCGCGACTGCTTGGAGCAGAGCGGAGCCTTTGGGTCATCTTGACCTGGTGACTTGCTCCGAATATCCCAGGGGAGGTCCGGGCACCTTCATGGGTTTCATACGTGTCCATATGATCCCGCTCATTGCCTTGTTGCAGAGCCTTCCCAAGCAGCCCGCGTGTCCTCACGGGTTGGAGGCAGCTGGACTAGTTCAGCTCTTCTTGAAACGAGTTGAGCTGGGGTTTTTTGTTGTTGTTTTTCTAAACGTTTTGGAGCTGTCACATCCCTGCTCAAATGAGCTGCCCCAAAACCAGCCGCCCGGGTTTTGTTTTTCCAAAGAGCCTCATTTTTCACCCGAGAGCGTCAACCCAAAGTCCATCATCTAGCTGATGGTTCCGCAGAATGGGAGAAGAACCGTCCTGAGCCGGGCCAGCTCCGGGCCCGCTGTCCTCGCTTGGACAACCGCACTTGGAAGGTGCCTGGGGCTGCTTTTTGGTAGATGTTCCTCAAGAGAAGAGGGGACGAGTCTCTCCTTGCCCTTGGCCTTCACCTCCACGGCTCCTTGCATCACACGCTTGAGGAGGAAGACTCTGCTTGAGGAGGAAGCCGGCGGCTGAAAGCACCGGGTCACAGGACAGCGACGACGTTGAGCGTGTGATCCTGCAATTAAAGGCTTTTCAGGAGGGCCCGGACAAGGAAGAAGTTATTCCAAGCGTAGCCTTTAATTGCACTTTTCCAGCACGCGTTAAGCACCTCAAGGGGTTTTATCCTTCCTGCAAAGCGGTGGCTTTGTCCTGCCTGCTCGTCACCCTGCTTGGGCCCAGCCCTGTCCTTCCTCCCCTCCTGCGGACGGATTAGGGGCTGATTTTATCCATGGGGACAGCGGCAGAGTCCGGTTCTTGGCAATGTCAGTTCTAAAACGCAGCCGACCCCGGTCTGATGCCTCCGTTTTTGGGGCTGGCGGATTTTTTTGTTCCATTTTATTGTTGCGAGAAGGGGCCCAGCTGCAAGCGGGCAGGAGGACACTCCGCATTTGTCCTCGTAGGGTGAGAAATGGGTGAGAAATGCCCACGAAAGGACACTTTAACCTCTGGCAGCGTGGCCAGAAGCGAGTTTGCAGCCGGAGCAGCGGGAAAGCGGCAGAGCCCGACCCAGGCACGCTCCCTGGAGCCCTCGGAGAGCCCACCGAGCACCCAAAAGCGCTCGGCGCCCGAGGCCTCTCCGGCGGGACCCGGTGCTGCCCGGCGCGCCTGGAAGCTGCTCCCGACTCCGGCGACAACCCGGGCCCCGTCTCGGCTTCCCGCCCGCTGCCCAGCTCGCTCTCTGGCCTCGGTGTTGCCGTTGCCTGCCCGGCCTTTCCAAGGAGAGGCGCTTTTCTTCGCACTGGAGTGCCGAGGGCGGCTTGGGTCTCTCGAGCACCGCGAGACGAGGCGCCCGGGAGCCTCTTGCCCCGCTCCTTTGAGAGCCAAGTGGGAGCAAAGGAAGCTCGGGGTCCTTGGGGGGCTTTTCTCCGCGAGCTTCGAGAATGGTCCTTCCCGCAGGGCCCCTTGATGGGGACGGGGCTCGCAGCGGAGCCTCCTCTCGGCTGCCCGGGCTGGACGTGCCCGCGCCGGCCTCCGCATCCGGAGCGGCCTCCGCTTGTGGGGCTGCAGGTGACAGTCAGCCCTGGGGAGCCCCGGGGCAGGACGGGGTGCGGGCCGGGCCCTTCGGGGTCACCCCTGTGCTTGTCCAGGAGGAGGGGGACACGGTGACAACCAGGGCGACAACCCGGCGGATGAAGAGCGAGGGAGTCGAGGTTCCGCTCGTGCTCCTACATCGCGTTCCACCTCTCTCAGACCCTTAGTTTGCCCTTCCTCAAGCAGCCGGGCAGCTCTCGCGTGTCCCGTTCCTCCTGAGAGCCCCCCGGGCTGCCAAGGGGTGAGGAGCACCCGGCTCTGGTGGGCACAAGGGGCGGCTTGTGAGCGAGCCCCGGTGTCCGGAGCGGAGAACCGAGGTCAGGCCGAGCAGCTTGAGGGACTTGGCTACGTGGTCACTGTCCCCTCCGTCCCTCTCCTGGCCTGGCCTTGACTTCCCTGAGCCAACGGAGCCCGTTGGGCAGCAGCAGATCCTTGGAAAGGCTGCGGCTTCTCGCCGGGCTCCTTACGCCTTTGGGGAGAGGCGCGTGCAGCGCGAGGACACATCTCAACGCGGTCGCCGTGCTGAGATGGAGACGTGGGTCCGTCCTGGCCAGGGCGCGGGGACGCTGCCCGGCGCGGGGTGTGGGCAGAACGGGTCCCAACGCGCTCCTCCTAAACGCGCCTTCTTCTCCGTCTCGTGTTTTCGGCAGATCTCGGAGGCCGGGAAGGACTCGCTGCCCTCGTGGCTGCACTGGAACGCCGAGAGCAGCTCGCTGGAGGGCCTGCCCCTGGACACGGACAAGGGCGTCCACTACATCGCGGTGACCACGCTGCAGGTCTCCCCCAACGGGAGCCACGTGCCGCAGGCCGCGAACGTCTTCTCCGTCGAGGTGCACCAGGAGGACCACAGCGAGCCGCAGTCCTTGCGGGTGGCTCTCCAAGACACGGGCGAGGCGGCGCTCTTCGTGTGCGGCTCGGAGGAGCCCGTCACCATCCTGACCGTCATTCTGGACGCCGACTTAACGAAGATGACGCCACAGCAGAGGATCGAGCTCTTGAGGAGAATGAGGAGCTTCTCGCAGGTGGAGCTGCACAACATGAAGCTGGTCCCCGTCGTGAATAACAGACTCTTCGACATGTCCGCATTCATGGCGGGACCGGGCAACGCCAAGAAGGTGGTGGAGAACGGGGCCTTGCTCTCCTGGAAGCTGGGCTGCTCCCTCAGCCAAAGCACCGTCCCCAACATCAGCAACGTGGAGGCGCCGGCCAAGGAGGGCACCATGTCCGCCCGCCTGGGCTACCCCGTGGTCGGCTGGCACATCGCGAACAAGAAGCCCCACGTGCCCAAGAGGATGCGGCGGCAGATCAACGCGACGCCCACGCCGCTCACCGCCGTGGGGCCGCCCACCACGGCGGCCCAGGAGCCGCCCGCCCGGATCGTGCCGACGCCGACGTCGCCGGCCATCGCGCCGCCCACGGAGACCACGGCGCCGCCGGTGCGGGAGCCCATCCCGCTGCCCAGGAAGCCCACGGTCACCATCCGAACGCGGGGCCCCATCGTGCAGACGCCCACGCTGGGGCCCATCCAGCCCACCAAGGTGGCGGAAGCCACGGGCACCGTCGCCGTGCCCGTGCGCCCCACCATGCCGGGCTTCGTGGAGCCCACGGCCGTGATGACCCCTCCGACCACCACCACCACCAAGCGGCCGCGCGTCTCCACGCTGAAGCCGGCCACGCCGGCCACCACCGACTCCTCCACGGCGGCCACGCGGAGGCCCACGCGGAGGCCCAAGACGCCGCGGCCCACCAAGCCCCCCGGCACCACGAGGTCCCCGCTCACCAAGCTGACGACGGCGGCGCCGCCGAGCCGCGCGCGCCCCACGCCCGGCGCCGTCCCGCGGCCCTGGGAGCCCAACGAGCCGCCCAAGCTCACCAACCACATCGACAGGGTGGACGCCTGGGAGGGCACCTACTTCGAGGTGAAAATACCCTCGGACACCTTCTACGACAAGGAGGACACCACCACGGACAAGCTGCAGCTGACGCTGAAGCTGAAGGAGCAGCAGATGCTGGAGGAGAACTCGTGGGTGCAGTTCAACAGCACCAGCCAGCTCATGTACGGCCTGCCCGACCGCGGCCACGTGGGCAAGCACGAGTACTTCATGTACGCCACCGACAAGGGCGGCCTCTTCGCCGTGGACGCCTTCGAGATCCACGTGCACAAGCGGCCGCACGGGGACAAGGCGCCGGCGAGGTTCCGGGCGCGCCTGGAGGGCGACGCCAGCGCCGTGGCCAACGACGTCCACAAGAAGATCGCGCTGGTGAAGAAGCTGGCGCTGGCCTTGGGCGACAGGAACAGCAGCACCATCACGCTGCAGGGCATCTCCAAGGGCTCCGTCGTGGTGGAGTGGACCAACAACACGCTGCCCCTGGAGCCCTGCCCGCGGGAGCAGATCCGGGCGCTGAGCCGGCGCATCGCCGACGACGCCGGCGGCCCCAGCGCGGCGCTCGCCGGCGCCCTGCAGCCCGACTTCAAGCCCTTGGACGTGGCGGTGGTGGGCGCCGGCAGCTGCCGCCACGTGCGCTTCGTCCCCGCCGCCAAGGACGCCCGGCCGCCCACGGCGGCGCCGCCCACCGCCGCGGCCGGCAAGGACCCGGAGAAGAGCAGCGAGGACGACGTCTACCTGCACACGGTGATCCCGGCCGTGGTGGTGGCCGCCATCCTCCTCGTGGCCGGCATCGTCGCCATGGTCTGCTACCGCAAGAAGCGCAAGGGCAAGCTCACCATCGAGGACCAGGCCACCTTCATCAAGAAGGGCGTGCCCATCATCTTCGCCGACGAGCTCGACGACTCCAAGCCGCCGCCCTCCTCCAGCATGCCGCTCATCCTGCAGGAGGAGAAGGCGCCGCTGCCGCCGCCCGAGTACCCGGCGGCGGGCGCGCCGGAGACGGCGCCGCTCAACCGCGACGCCGGCGGCGAGTACGCGCCGCTGCGCGACGAGGACCCCAACGCGCCGCCCTACCAGCCGCCGCCGCCCTTCGCCGCCCCCATGGAGGGCAAGGGCTCCCGCCCGAAGAACATGACCCCCTACCGCTCCCCGCCGCCCTACGTGCCCCCTTAATGAAGGGGGCGACGCTCCAGGGGCCGCCCCGGGGTGGGTCCCGGTGGGGAACGAGGGGGACGGGCAGCCCGGACGGGGGGTTTGGGGCAGGGGGATCGACAGCGACGACGACGACACTCGTTTTATTTTTGCCTAACAAGCTTTTCGGGTTT